CGAAAGATTTAACAACAAAATAAAGATGTTAGATAATTCCAAATTTGCGGACCGAAAAAATAGTTTACAGCTTAAAAGAAATTACTTATCCCAAAAAGAGAAAGGAACTATAGTTCACTTAAGCAAAATCAGTAAGGTAAAACTTTTTACATAATACAACAATACCATTTAAAATTTTTCTTATTCCTGTAAGGATTTTCTTTTTAATTTTTTTTTTGTTATTATGTTATTTTGTGAGTTAAATTACTCTAAGATTGTGGATAATGTTTTGGTACTTCTTTTTGTTGCATTTGTTTCTTGGAGTGTTTTGCCTGGAAAGGGTTTGTGAAAAAATAGGTTTGCTCACATACAAACACGAAAAACAGGAAATTGAATTTTCGACTTTGGCAAGTGTGCGTGCCAGGAAGGAGGAACCAGAACCAGAACCAGAAGCAGCAGCAGAAGCAGAAGCAGCAGCAGAGGAACAACTTATGCCCCGACACTTGTGTGTAATGCGAATAGCTGCTGCTATTGCTCCTGCTGCTCCTCCTCCTTCTGCTCCTCCTACTCCTTCTGCTGCTGCTGCTGTGCAGTTGCTCCTGGGCTGCGGCAACTATTGTAAACGCAGGACGAGAAGTCCTGAAGTCCTGACACTGGCAGCGCCTCGTTTTGCATACCAAGCAAAAGCGAACGGAGCTCCGACTTCTGCCGGCGGAAACGAAATATTTAACAACAAAGCAAACACTCATACACGCACTCTTACACACACACACACTCACTGATAAACGGGTATTTGTGTGCGCTGCATAATTGAGTGGGCGCGGCCAGAGTCGCAAGTTTAACTTTAATTTGCCGGCTTTCATCTGACTTTGTTGTCGAGTGCCGCAAAACTAAGCTCAAATTAATAGCCAGCGATGTTGGCCGCCCCCTTCGCAAATCTCTTCCCCTTAAGCATTCCTCTAAGGCAGCAGCTCAATGACTTATCATATACAAATTACAAGAGTTTTGCTGCCAGTCAGTGCCACGCCCCCCAGGCATTCAAGCCCCCAGTGTGGAGCAATTAGCGATGGGGTTTACCCAATGGATAGTGCAATTTGAACAAACAGCAACGAAATATGGTAACAAAACGTATGAAAAGTGTCACACTAATATATACGTAAATTATATTTATAAATTGTCCTTAAATTTAACGAAAAGTATCAAAATAAGCATTTCATTAAATCAATAAAAAACTTTTTACAAACGAACTTTGCTATTTTACTCAGTAAAGTTTTTAGTTCCTTTTCAGTTATACAGACACCTTTGCAACAAACTGAAAACTATTAATTTCAGCCCCTTTCGAATTTACATCCCCTTCCACTAATAAATTTATATCCGAATAAGTATTGCTTCCATCTCTAGGACTCTCCACATGCCGACACACCCCCGAAAACTCAGACAAAAGTCAAAAAGTTACAATTTACGCTTGTAAATTGCTTTAAAAACTTCTCTCCGGTTGCTATCTGCCGCTACAATTTTGCTAATTAACTCAACGCTCAAGTTTTGGGGACAAATCCAACCCCCAGAATCCCATCCCCGAATCCACTTTCCAAAGGAAGAGGCGCCAACACCCCGAGAACTTCCCGCTCTCAACACTCGACAAATCGCGTCTGTCGCTAATTTCGCTAATCAAAGCGAGGGGAAATCCCCCCTCGTGGAAAAGGGAAAAGCGATGGGGGAAAACATTGCTTCGATTTTATTAAACGGGAAGATGGGGAAAGGGAGGAGGTGGGGCATTTTTGAAAGGGACCGGCAATAATTTGCCAAAAATGAAAACAACATCCAGAACAACAACAATAAATGTAGAACTTTTCTTAATGGCAAAGCGAACCAAAACGCCGCCGACGAAATGAGTTTTTTCTCTTTTCGGGCGATAATTAGTAGCGTTGTTTAAGGCCAGCGCTCAAAAAAGGAAAAAGAAAGCGAATCGCTGGCTGACCCGGGTTATGGTTATTGCTCGGCCACGTGCCACCCTTCGGGACCCCGGTTCCCCAAATATCACACACAAAATGAAGAGCTCCCGGCATTAAGTCCCCGAGAGTCGATAATGTCGCGGCATGGCCACAAAGGCAAACACAACAAGCCAGGCAAAAAGGCCAGCAAGGGAAAATGAAACCTCCACTAAGAAAAAACCGAATAAAACAACAAAATTGTAACAGAAAAAAACAGTAGCTAAAGAGATACATCAGAAAATCATATTTCACAAAATTTAATATCTACAAAAAAATAAATTAAAAGAGCATCTATGTTTCGGTAATTTAAAAATAAATATAATCAATTTAAAGCTACAGAAAATATTAGCTTGAAACAATATTTAATATTTAGATATCTATTTTTAAACATATTTATAGATCTACAAGCTTTTGTTATTATTTTTCCAAGTGCATGGCAAAAAAAACCTTCGACAACCTTCTGTGGAAAAACTAATAACCAAAAATTGGGTAGGAAGCGGAATCGGACTCACGGAGTCCGGAGATTTGAGAACTGGAAGCTGGCGACGAGCGCCAAAACTCATAAAATTCAAGCCATTGAGTTTTCGAAATCGCTTTGGGCTTCATTTCGATTGCCCCACACTCCCCGATGTCCTTTTGGCCTCTTGACTTTCTGTCGCTCCGCTCCTCGTTGTTTGGCCATTTAAATTCGTTACGTTTCGATTGCCGTGAATATGCAGTCAACTTTATAAAATTTATAGTTTAATCTGATAGATAGGAAATTGCTTTGTTTTGGCCCCGGTTCGAGAAAGGCGGTGGGCCAAGGGAGAGCTTTGGGAAGGCAGTAGAAAGTTGGCAAAATATGAATGGATTTTTCGGAGGAAGAGGGAGACTTCGCAATGCCAAGGCAGCACTTTAAAGCTTTCGACTCAGCCGATAAAAAGATAAACCCGAAAATTTATGCGAGCAAAAAGAGACAGCAAAAAAAACCAATTTAGGACCCAAGTCGAATTTTCAGTGCCCTTTTTTAAACTAGAAATGTGACTTTAAATTGAGCACAAATTTTTGTACAAAACATACACTTATTTATAAGAATATTGTGCTAAAATCATTCTACTTTGAGTTAAAGAGTAATTTAATTATGTTAAAGCAAAATTATAATCAGTTTTCTAATTCAATAACAACCAAAATATTTTCCTTTAAATTTCCTGAAACGCCTTTACTGTCTGCCACACAAAATAAAGATATTTCAGTAAAATCACCACCCTTTAACCCCACAAACGAGATGCTGTGTTTTCAGTTTGCTTTGTGTGTGTGATATCCTTTGGATTACAAAGCGGGAAGCCTTCACACAAACAAAGTCGAGCAGAATCCCCACCCATGTGCTTTCCAGGCAATTGCCTAATTAAATTTTATATCGAACGTCGTAAAACGAAATTTCAATAAACACAAGACAGCAGAAAGGTGGGGAGTTTAGGATATTTGCATCTCTTTGCGTGCCCATCGAGGCTTAAATAATATTTTGTAGCGGCGGGCAGCTCAGGAGTTAATAACACGGTCAAATATTCCGACCAGGTTAGCATTAAAATCATGCGGTTCATTGGCCAAAATCTCCACATCGCTTTCAATTTCAAAAGTGGAAGTGGAAAAGCGAGAAAAACTGAGCTTAACTGGTAGGCGGGTGGCCATCATATTTGGTTGTTCACTCGGTGAAGGACACTCCGTTATATAAGTACACTCAGATAAAAAATACTTAGATTAAAAATAAAATTTATTTTCCATTCACATACTTAACAACATTTACTTAAGGCTCAGATAAAGGTACTTAAATAAGCACTCTAATCTCCTATTTCAAACCCAGTTGTTAAAATTATTTTGTATCAAATTGTGTAGGTAAGAAACATACCTGTCAGGCTTAAATATTTCTCTAAGTGTTACTCAAAGAGTGGACATCGAGGAATTCTGCAGCGGACAGTTTGACAAGTGGCTTCGATGTTTGCTTAGCCCATCACAACCGAACAGGTTGAGCCATCGAAAACTGAAACGGACTGAAGTGAGCTCGACTTCTGACGACTCGACTCGTCATCATCGTTGGACTTTGACCATCGGCCGAGATATATATATATACATAGAGATATGTACGGCCAGATACGTATATATGTCAATGAAGCTGCAAGCGCAGCTTGTTTGTTCTTATCCTTCGGCACTCATATAAAGTTTGTTTGCGGATTTGTGCAGCGCAATATGTCATTGCTGCCTCTCTGGGCCATCGACTTGAATGTGGATGTGTGTATGTGTGTGTGTGTGTGTGGATGTGGATGTGGCAAGAGGAAGGGGCAGCGACGACCACGCTTAATGGCAATGTACGTTCAAGTAAACACATCTTGCCCCTCGGAACATCCAAGCCCAGAAGTATGGCACACTTGTGTGTTGGCGAGGGTTGAATGGTTGAGTTATCAATAATTATATTAGGGTTTTAGGAAAAAAAATATATGGTTATCTATTTCAGAAATATATTAAGCAAATAATTTTAAAATACTTTTTGAAATCAAATATATGAATATGCAATACTAAGTGTTAATAAGAACTTGCATAAACTATTTTAGACATTTAAAAGTTGAGTTATTATAATAGGAGGAAAATAAAAACAATTTGGAAGTCTTTTTATTTTCCTCCTATTATAATAAAATCCCAAGAAATTTATGAAGAAATTTATGAAATGCCCCATAACAGATAAATATGCTTAAAATAGTTTTTAAATAGTTTATTGCACTATTCATATTAATATAAAAAGTTCCCATAAAATGTGAACACGACCCTCTCGTGTGTGCATATGGAGTTCAGTGTGCAGCGTCGACTAACAAATCCTTTTGGCATTATAAACATTATTAAAATTTCATGTTTCCTGCTGCTACGGGCGACAGCCCCCGACCTGCCACGCCCACACTTTCGACCGCCTTCCCCACCCCTCCACTATTGCTATCTCTTTCGCTCTACGTCGATGCGCCGCCCACTCAAAACGCAAACGTAACGAAACATGAAACTCAAAACATGGCAGGCCAAGAAATGAACGAGGACGAGGACGAGGACGAGGCTTTGAGCTCGTGCAGCTCGCAGATTCTCCTGACCAGTGAGGTCCTGTGTTCGAAAGAGGTCCTTTTGCCCCGTTAACCCCTCCCCCTTTTCCCCTTCCCTTCTCCACTTCCCCCCTTTGGATATAAGTCTGTCTAGCCTTACTTATTTGCAGCGTGCTTCATGCTTTATGGTTACTTGGTCAAGGGCCTTTCATGCTCTCCAACGCACACACGCGCATATTGACTTAAGCTTACACACACACACATTCATATAAGTCACACACACACATGCATACACTCGTAAAGACCGAGACACGAAATGCATGAAATTTTGCGCCGTAAATCGTTAAAATGGTTTTGTTTAAGTAAATATGCAAAAATGCTTTTGTTAGACTCGCAGCATTATGTCCGGGGTCAAAACTGGATACGTTAATATCCGGAATTTAATTTGAAAATTTAACAATCCACATAAAAGAGAGATACGAGCGGGGAGTATAGTAGGTAAATATTTAATACCGAGTGAGCTCCGTTTTACGACATTGTCTGGTTTGGGGACCACATGTCGCATGAGATATCTTTGATGGCAAATCTCAAAGAGAGATGTGGGAAATGAAAATAGTGCCGTAAGTTATGTCTTATTTATGCAAATTGTAGACACTATACCATAAAGCAGACAATTTATCAAAACGCAGGTAAAAAAAGTTATGATTTAGTTGTTGGTAAAGAAAATGTAAGATGCAGTTTAACTCTATAAAGTGAAAAGGCTTTTTTAAATCTTCGTTGTGTGACTAATGTATATTATGTACAATTATATGATTTTAAATATATATTTAAATACATTTATCATAATCCTTTTACATAATTACCATTGTAATTCCAACCATTTGTTTATTTTTTTAAAAATATTTTAAGCAAAAGTTTGCGAAAGCCATTTGACCTTTGCTCTCGGCGCGGTCGAATCGCGGGGTCCAAAACCTTTTAAACAGTTGCGAAACTCCTCCAGGTCATTGTTATGGCAACTTCTTCCATGCAATAGCTTTGCAATTTTCTTGCCAGCTCAGAAACTTCAGCTGCGGCAAGGCTTTTCTCCTAACTAGCTGTTTGGCAGACGGAGAAATGGGCGAAGGAGATGAATATTGGGTTGGGGTTGAGGGGAAAATGCTGTGGAAAATTCCGGGCGGCTAGGGCCTGAACTGAGACGTCTCTCCTGGTCGGCTAAACCCAAACGCACTTAACACTTGCCACCGAGTTTTGCGTAACTTTTGCGCCCGGAATCCGGCGAACTACTTTTCCACCTGGTCGTGGGGTGAATAAAATCTACTCCAGTGCGTCACGTAGGCGCTTCAAAGTTTTCATTTTTGCAAAATTTACGATTTAACGTTAAAGTGGAGCAAGACAAAAAAAAAGCAAAGCCCTCTATATACACTCCATAGTACATATAAGTATAGTATGTACTACTTAAAAGAATGGCAAACTTTGAACACGACCAAAATCCCACTAAGTAAGTGTACGCCCAGTTCAACCTGGTGGGTTCGGGGGTTTGGGTTCGAGTTCGGGTTCGGGTTTCTGGGAATATTCTCCAGGTTAGCCGGGGTTCTCCGGGCTTCTCCGGCCGGGTTCAGCTGCACGTACTTTGGATTTTGTTGCGTCTCCTTCTTTATTGCACTTAAGATTTACTCATCAGCAGGTGTGCCCGTGCCCGGGTGGCTTCCATCTTCCATCTTCTGCCTTTCGTCTCCCGGCCCCCGAAACCGGAATCTACGATTGAATTTCAGACAGTATAGGGCAACCCACCATCACATCCCATCCAAACCACCCAAACCACCATCCGGCGACCAAGGAAAACGCAAAGGCTTTTGCAATTTTTATGTGCAATTTTTTACATGAGAACCAAAGGCGGCATGAGAGTGTCGCTTGTGGCTCGTTAAGGTTAAGGGGTGGTGGCAGGATTTCTCTTTTTCTTTGGAGGGGGTGGGGGATGCGACTAGCAGTTGGGGTGCCACTGATAACCGGAGAGTGGATTAGTCTCTGGGTATCGCTTGCAACGGAAAGCAAAGACCCATCCCTCAGTCTCATAAAATATTGAATGCAAATGCAAGTAAAAGCTTAGTGGAAACAATAAATATATTGCGAATAAAAACAATCCTTTTATTTTATTTCTGTGATGGTGGTAACAATACAAATTAAAAGGATTCATAGAATAGCTTATAGTTTGAATAACTTTTATGTCGCATCCAATTAAAACAACTTTACTATCTGCAAATCGCAGAGAAATAAAATGAACAAAAAATCTGTTAAAATCCCTTTCACATTTGATTTAAACTTTGAGTACATTGCATCGCTTTTGTAACCCTGATTGAAATTCAAAGAGCCTCCAAACGCCTAACACCTGACGGCTTTCCTAGAGGGTATTGAACACGGCATCTCGGCACATTTCTGCTATGATTTAGTGTGCACCACCTGCCGAATCATCGCCACCCATTCGCCCGCAAATACAATTTAAATTTTTAAGCGGCATCTACTTTGGACACGCCTTAGCCCGGGATTCGTGTCACGCAGCCTCGATGGGTGGCAGCGTCATCAGGACACCGCCACCCCCTTTGACACCCCACCCACCCCCCACTCCACGAACCCACCATCAGCAGTGGAGCATCAGCATGTTGTCCTTTGGCTTCGGTTTTCCCATTTTTTTCTTTTTCACCAGGAAGCTCTTTGTTGAATGTTGCAATTTCAACCCGTTGATGGATTTGATGGTTTTTTCCCTGTGCTCTTTGCTTGTGCACTGAGAAAAAAACACCCTCAACTCTTGTAAAGTAAGAACAGAACATAAGTAAGTAGAGTTAACTCCATAAACACGTTGAATGAATATGATCTCAAGCGGTTTTTTAATCAAATACAACTTTTCATCATTCAGAACCTTTCTAGAGAACTCTTATATATAATTCTTAATTATTCTGAACCTTTTTTTCGTAGTGTATCCATGTGTCCTGGCAGCGGCTGCAAAATCAGCGCAAATCAGTGGCAAACTGGGCTCGAGGATATCAAGGGGATGCAGGGGGCTGGGGGGCGGAACAAACGCAAATTGATGACACCCGCAGCGTCCTGTCTGTCATTGATACTTGCAAAAATGCTCCTTTACATGTCGCACGCACACGCTGCGCTGAAATGACACTAAATTTGGTTGATTAGATGCCCGCCAAACAACAAACCGGATTTGGCATCCAGCCGCCCGAAATTCCCAGAAACCCCGCTTCTCTTTACCCTGTAAATATATATTGTATATATCATTCTCATTGTCGGCGTATCGCAATCAATGCAACTATAGAATCAGAATTCTATTTTAGACGGATTTGCCGAATTTCGATACTTCTTGTTGCAAATTCTTCAGCTTTAATAAAACAAAATCTGAACAAATTTGACTAACAATTGTGACAGGAATTTATTCAAACTTTAGTTTTGCTTATTTCAAGAACCTCCTATTTTTTTAAAAAATATCTGTCAAAGTCAATAAACTATGATGATCGTCACCTGCTGTCAGCTCAATATTTCCCAATTTTCAAAGCCAATTTATCTAATCCATTTCCATTTGGTGCTTGTGGTAATTTTATTTGATGGGTAACGCTGTTTGGGAACAGATTGGTTTTCTTTTTCGACGACCCCATCAAAAGTTCCGTTTTGGCGTCGTTTTATGTACCAGTTAACGTCAGTCTAATTGACAAATCTGCGCTTAACAAGCAAACGCAATCTGCTGCAACACTCCTCGCCGATGTATCCACATAGACGGCGGGCTTTGGGGCCAAATGCAAATGTCTGCGGAGCGGGTGCCATATAAATTAACACAAGTATTTTTACCTGGGCCACACCCACCGTGCAGAATGCATGCTAACAACCACTTAGCGCACACGTACCACCCACCATCCGCTTGCACCACCACCAACCACCACCTCCTTCTTTTTTGGGCTCCCGTCAATGATGAACAACTATTAAAGAAATTACGAGCTGATTCAAACGCCGGGTTCCACGGGGATTTAAAAGGATGCGGGGTCTGCGGAAAGTGGGAAGCGGTTGCTGGAAGCCATTGGGGCTGCGTTTTATTTGCAACAATTTGACGCAAGTTGAAATGCATGCGGGTGCGTTAAAAGTTGCCGAATGTCGAATTTTATGTGTGTGCTGCTTTTGAAACCAAATCAAACAGTTGAAGAAATACTATAATAAAATAAAACATAACAAAAAAGATTATGCTAAATATATGGTAAATAAAATGAAAATTAAAAGTTGTTTGATTAATATACTTTAATATTTATTGAGATTTATGAGGATTTATTTTTAGCATACATAACACAAATTGAAATATGTGTAATATATATTTTTATCAGAAATTCTAAGTTTTAAGAGTTTTAATATTTTATTAATTTTCCAGTGCACCTCCGGTTTTCCCAGAACTCGAATCTCCCGCATTCGGAAAACTTTGCTGCGCGACAGCCTGTGTAAATAGTTGTCTATCGAGGGGGCTAGATACAGATAGCTCGTATGCCCCGGGAAGCGGAGTCTGCGGATCAGAAACTCGGGATTGGCATAATATGCCCCTAGTGAGCCAGCCAGAGTGCCAGACCGCCAAACTGTCAGACGAAGCGAACCCAAAACGAAGCGGCGTCCTCAATCAAAGTTGGGCGTATAATGATTGTGCCCACAAAAAGCCAGCAGGATAAAGTTTTTCGCACAAGCGGTTGCATCTTTGCATCTCCATTCCCATCTCCATTTCTATCTTCATCGCGGAGCTCAATTCTTCATTCGCCATTCCCCTTTTTTGTTAACCAGCAGTTTTAATTTCGCCACAAGGCGACGCGACGCTGCCGAGCGCATCTTCAATGAAATTTTAAACAAATAAAATGGCTTCGACTGCGCCTTCGTCTTCGACTTAATGATGTGGCTGCCACCCGCCGCTGGCCTTGCACTTAAATTAGTTTCAGCCAAAAAAGCCAACGAGACGAAAGTATAACAAGAGCGGAGGAGTATCGGGCTTAAACCTTGGGCCCGAAGGATGCCTCGTCGCTTGGCTTACACTTGCTAACAAACTTAACCGAAAATAATTAATACATAAAAATTCATCAAACTTTATTCCTCGAATTTATTGCAAAGTGCTTTCCGGCTTGTTTAATATTAAAATCCTCTTCAAAGGGTTTTTTTTTTTTGGAATGAGCGATAAGATTGTATGGCCTACCTTGGGGCGTAATTTTAATCAAGACCAAGCAAATATTGTTGGGAGCAAAGTTTTGCAGCCCTCTATTTGGTATTTGCGTTGAGCGGAGCGTTGCGAACTTTTGCTGGCCGCCGCGAGATAACCCAAGGAATATCAACAGCATTAGGAGTCTTTAAACTTGCCCTCGATGGCTGAGTCAGCTTAATGAATGCAGCCCCATTGGCGCTTTTGCGCCGTGGCCCAGACCAACCCAGACTAACTCAGACCAGCCCGGTATTTTGGCCCCGATTCGCGGGCCGATCCCCTGGCTGCAACTTAAATTGGAACTGCTTCCGGCGGCTTTAAATACCCTTAGTCACGCACCCAAGTTCGCTCCGTTCCGTTCCTTTCCTTTCCGTTTCGAAGGTGTCTTTAACCGAGGAGGTCCGTCCGCTTACATTGTCTGGGCTCCCAAGCTCTCTGCTCCAATCCAATCCTGTGGCCAAAAGCCGAAAGCCGAGAGCCCCCGGTCGACTATCATGCAATTGGCAGCGACCCGTTCCCCACTCGCTTGCTCCCCGCTTACTCGCTTATCTTGGCCCACCTCCATCACACGATCCAATATGTCTGACTAACTGACTCAGCGCTTTGATTGCCAGCGGAGCCAAGGTGAACGGGGGGGAGTGGGAAAGCAACTTTTCTTTCTGCCGCTGCCTTGGCGGTTGGCTTCCGTTTCAAACCCACCCCAGCACACCAGCACCCAAACACCCAAACACCAAAACACCCACTCATCCCCCTTCCTCCCTTCCCAAAAAAAAAACTTCAACTTTGGCTTAATTTCGCGCACGAAGTAATACAAAGAGGAGAATTGGCGGGGAGGCGGTAACACGTGCGGCATCCTTAACACATTCCTGCAACTGAAACTACATAAAAAAACACTTGGCGCTAAGGTTAAATTCCTTTTTGCCAGTTCCTGCAGAGAGCAAAATTTAAAATAAAAAATAACAATATAGTGAAAAATATAACTAAAAAAAATATGAAAATATAATTTTTTAAGATATGAAATACCTTGTCCTGTTTATATGCCCTATTCCTTACCTCTTTGTTTAATAAATGGTTTTCTGCAAGCCTATTTTTCGGACCAAAAATAAAAAAGTAGCTAATATGTAATGAAAAAAAATAATAAATTAAAAATAAAATTAGAAACGTTATAGGCTTAGAATTAGTGAATTTGGAGCATTTTCAGCAAACCCATATTTTGGAAAATTGGAAAAATTAACTAAAGATGCAGTTTGCCAGAGATTTCAACCGCCGTTTTTCAAGTTATTAAAATTCAAAACAAAAATATAGTTAACATTGCGAGTAAGAGATTCGTGTTAAAAAGATTTTTTTAAGTGTTCTACTATCTACCACCCACAGAAATTAAAACTAAAACGTTGCAACATTTTCGTGCGATGTTTTCACTTTGTCCCGGACCCGCAAAGTGGGGGGTTTAGAGGGCAGGGTTCGTCGGAGGGTCGGAGGCCTCGTCAATTATTGAGGAGCAGGTTGGCGACTGCAAAAGGTGTGCTTTTAATTGTCCTCGTCGTCGGCGTCGCCGTTGTTCGCGGCCATTCCTGTTGTTGCCAATATATTTAGCACAAAACGCCCACGACCCCAACGAGATACTCGTGGCACAAATTGCTTTGGTCGCTGGTGTTGGCGTTGATGTTGCCGTTTGTTTGACTGCTTGTTTTGTAATAATTTAGAAACTTTCGCTGAATATGTGCTTTTGCTTTTGTGGCATGTCTGCGAAAGAAGGTGTGTTTGGCGGGCGTTGCACGTTGCATGTGCAGCAAACAGTGGG